GCCTGCCTGGCAAGCGCAAGGTCGTGAGTTCGGTTCCCGGTACCGGAGAAAAACCAAAAAAAAAAAAAAAAAAAAAAGCTCTGACTGGAATGTTCATACCCTGCTGAGGGAATGGGAGCTGGTACCAAGCACTCTGGAAGAATCTTTGGCAGAATGTCCTAAGGCTGCGTGGGGCATACGCTATGACTCAGTGACTCCTCAGTGGGTGGTCTGAACACTTTGTAAAAAAAAAATCCATCAAGTGTACAGTTAGGACCTGTGCACCTTTCAGTGTGCGTGTTACCTTCAGTAAAGGTCAAGCAAAATGAAGCATTTTGGAGTCAGACATCCAAGAGTGAATCCTAGAACCACCGCTTAGCCAGATGGCCCCTGGGTAAGTTATTTGACTTCTCTGTGCCTCAGTTCCCCCTTCTGTAAATGGGTTGGGCCAAGAACTACATAAAACTATGCATAACCTGCTGCCTGGTACTTGGTTAGCTTTCATAAGTACTTCCTGGTTTTGTTAACCATCTTGCTAAAGGTTACGTGATTCACAAAATATGGTGGAGGTTTGTCCAGATGCCTACAAGTAGAATTTGTCCAGGAGAGAATGCTAGGTTCCCCGCTGTAGAAGTCACCTGGGAAGAACCTCAGCCTGTCTTCGATATTCACTCCCGATAGGTCCCAGGGAAGATAGCCAAAATGACGGGCACAGTTCAGCCATTGGGTTTGCTGGGGGTGGACACTGAGATTTGGTGCAAATAAAAGCTTTCCCAGGCGTATGTGCCCTGGGTTGAGAAGCAATGGATGGTAGGGATTGCAAACACGCAGAGAGGAGTTCTATGTAGCAAGCTCCCATCTACAGCTCCAAGGATATTAACCCTTTGAATCCTCACAGTCTACACTGCCACTGGTTATATTTCACATGGAAAGCCCTTCTGGACCTTGTTGCAGTCCAGAGGAGTCCACATTTGTAATCCCAGGGGAAAGTTATTGGAATTCCGATAAGTGATTCCAATCTACCACTTCTAGTACAATCCACGGTGAGAATAAAGACACTAAGGCATATCTGTAGTTGTGGGTAGCCAAGGAGGTCCTAAGTCCAGCTAGAACGATGGCTAACTGGAACAAAGGCTCAATCCATGGCTGAATCCCGGTTTTATTAATTTGTAAAGAGGGGAGTGGCTCGGGGATGAGTGACTATGAGAGTGGTGGAAAGTAGATGAGTGCTGTGAGCTGGGCTAGGTCGGAGGCCTGAAATCACCTCTGCAATATGCAGAGAGAGAGAGATGCAGAAAGAGTAATCCGCATATCATAGATTGGGGCAGTATCTAGTGTTTTTTTGGCGGGGGGGCTTCAGTTTTGATGTATAATCGGCATGCCCTCAGATGTTAAGGCCTTTTTCTCAAAGCTCAATCCCAGCCCACAGCGTGGCATCACTCAGCCTAGCTCACACATACTACTTGGGAGCTATAGGCAGGGCATCACTGCCCTGTCACATTGCTTTGAAGACCACACAATAACACCTGGGCTAGACCCATTTACATTGCTTAAAGCCAACTGAGGGGATAAAGACAATCTTAGTCAGCTCTGTACATATCAATACATGGAAACAGGGCCATGACAACTTCTCCTCTTTCAAGGAGAGCTGGCCTGGTAGTCCTCCACAACGTCACAGGTGAGAGAAATGGAACAGAGACAAAATAAACAAAAATAAAAAACCCTGAAGTTGGGAGCAGCTCCCTGGGTCTGCAGTTTTTGAATGGAACACACCAGATGAACAGCAAAGGAACTGACTTTGAAGCTGATTTGCAAGAGAAATGAATGTTCCAACACAGCAAGAAAAGAGCCCTTTCAAGACCAAACTCTGTGCTTTCCCATATTCTGCTGGGGAAAGGGCCAGGGCAGCTGCACAAGGCCTCGGGCACCAGTTACACTTTCCATGATTTGAAATTATTTTGTGGGTCTCTGTGTGCATCTGTATATAACAATCAGTGCTTGATAAGCTTACACGGCCAGGTTAACAGGCTAGGGACTCTCTAGTGGGCCTTCTGCTCTCTGTCATCTGTCACCCTCACAACTGCTAGGCTATTTCCTGCTCTTCCTCTCTCTTTCCCTGGCTCCCTCTCCCACAGTAGAGGCCAATGGAGCCTCCCCATCTCTCCTAGCTGGGGCTGGGGCTGAAGTCAGCACTTATGTCCTGTTGGACTGCAAGGGCCACAGGAAGAGCACCAGGCAGGTCTCCAGAGAGCACAAGATAGTCCAGGGAAGGTAGCTGGGAGGAATTGAATTTTTATGGGGCAGGAAGGAAGCCCAGTACCCTATATCAGGCAGGTGGGGTTGGTGGCAGGCCTGAGTTGCCCCCTCTTAGCTTATGGCCCCTTTTCCCCTTGCCTGGGCTCTGCCTGGGCCTTTGGGACAGCTAGGAGCTCAGCCTGCTCAGAAGTGAGGGGAAGCAGGTATCATCTTGTGGTTGTGACAGCTGTCACCTGTAGCCCCCCAGGGGAAATACCTTCCCTGCTCATCAAAAGACGTTGCTTGGCTGACAATGGGGTTATGTCCTGATAAGCCCATCATAAATCAATAATACTGTAAGTAAAAAATGCAGTGAATGCACCCAACTTCACAGCTTAGCAGCATCTTACACCAGTGATGATGTTTGGTAAGTTGTCCCAGTCTTTTGCAATGAAAGACAATTTTTCCACTGACGGGTTTGGGGGTGGGTGGTTTGGTGATGATTCAAGTGCATGACACGTATTCCACTTTATTGCTATGATTATTACTTTAGATTCTTATAAGGAGAGCACAACCTAGACCCTTTGCACGCACAGTTCCCAGAAGGGTTCGAGCTCATATAAGAATCTAATTTGGACACTGATCTGACAGGAGGTGGAGCTCAGGCAGTGATGTGAGCAATGAGGTGGGGCTGTAAACATAGATGAAGCTTTGCTCCCTCTCCCATGGCTCACCTTCTGCTGTGTAGCCTGGTTCCTAGCAGTCTACCAAAAACCAGCTGATTCTCCATATGGTCACATGGTGGATTGGGAGCTGTGGCCCACTGCCACTGCCCAGCATCAAGAAAGAATCAGGGCTGGGGGTGGAGCTTAGTGATAAAGTGCTTGCCTAGCAGGCACAGCCCTGGGTTTGATCCCCAGTGCTGCAGAAAAACAGAGACAGAGACACAGAGAGACAGAGACACAGAGAGACAGAGAGTAGCATACTGTATATCCCATCACCAGCCTGCGGAAAGACCAAACTTCAAAATTTGAAGTAGGTTTCTACCGAATGCATTATCACTTTCATAGCATCATTAAGTTAAAAAAAAAAAATCATTAAGATGGAGACCATCTGCAGATTCAAATCCAGCCAGGTTTTCTAGCTGGTGTGCCTTCAGGTACCTTCTTCTGCTTCTCTGAGCCTTATGTTCCCTGTGAAGAGGGGTGATTATTTTACACAAATAATGATCAGGTCACTATTCTGGGTGCTTCTCCCCAGAGCACAGTCATGGCAAGGATTAACCGAGAGGATCCACACAAAGGATGGAGCTGGGGCCCCCAAATTGGAAGCCCAACTAATATCACTCACTCCCGTAGTGTGAAGAAGGTGGGAATGAGGAGATGGGGGGGAACCCAGCTTTTGAGATACCAACCTTTCCATCTGTACCCTTCCCACAGTATGGCTTTGGTGACCACCCAGAGCTCAAAAAAGCAGACTGATCACAAGCACAACCAGGAAGCCCAACTAAACTAGATTTTTTTTTGCTTCTGAGAAGTATTTTTAATACACCATCCTTATTTTCGTGCAAGGGAGAACTCTCTCAGCCCAGAAAACAATATCATAAAACCTTATCATCGGGTGTTTCATTTGGTTCTGGAAACAAGCACAGACTACACGGTCTTGGGTTTGGAGAGTTTGACCCAGGAGACAATGGGGCGCCCTGGCGGAAGGTGCATACAGTCAGACTTGCGCAACTTCTACTCCACTGATTGTCAGCTCCTCGTTTCTTCCTTGAGAGACCAGCTGAGGGCACCGTGGGGATGTGCAAAAGCTAGCAGGGCGGGACGGCTATTCTAGCTCTTGGCCAGCTGGGGTTCCCGGGATCCGTCTGGGAGTGAAAAAGACTGGGTCCTGGGCACACGTCGGTGGTGAGAATTTGCTACAAGCGAGCACGGGGTGGTACTAGGGGAGGCAGGTGGAACTGGAGCAGCAGCTGGCTGGACACTCCGCTGTCCTGGCGCTCGGCAGGTCAACTTCCATGAGGTCTCCTGTATGGCCCTCTGGTTACCATAGGTCAAGTGCACATGGTTCATTTCTCTTACAAAAGCCTCCCGAGGTTTTCTCAGGACCCCTCCTCTATCATTACCTGCCTGTGGCGTGAGGTGTTACGGGGACAGTCCCAGGGCTGTCGGCTCCCAGGCAGAAGAGCCGGGTCTGCAACGGTGGGACAGATGGGGACGTGGGAGAGTAGATTTGCTCACTGTACCGACGCACCCCTCCTCCTAATCCCGCGCGCTGGACAGGGCTTTCTAGAGCACAGAGACTGATCCAGTCAATTGTGGGACCACAGTCTGAGCTTAGAGGTACAGGGAACGTTCGCAGAGACAAAGAAAGAACAAAAGAATGAATAAAGACCTGATTTAACAGGGAGGGAGGGCCAGTAAGGCTGTGGGTTTGGAGACAGCCTTTCCCCAGCAGAGTCCTGCATCCCTCTCCGATGCCCTCTCCACTCCTTTCTTGCTCTAAAAGTCCCTGTGAGGTTCCCTCTGCGCCTCGGTTTCCCCACCTGTGGAATGGGGCAGGCTCTGGATGTCTGGACCACAGGGAAAGAACAGACCCCCGCCCGACCTCTACGTTGGTACTCCAAGCTGCTACTCCACGCAGGCCCCGCCCCCACCGCCACAGGCCCCGCCCCGCAGCACAGGCCCCGCCCCTCTCCTCCGGGCCAACCCCCCTGGCGTTGCCATGGTGACGCACGTACACAGGCCGGGAGGCCGCGCGGGGTTCCGGCTGCGACCTGGAGACTCCCCGGACCCGGCGGCCTCGCCCCAGAGCGGGCCGGCTGGGCTCTCGGCGGAGGACGGAGCGCAGGCTTCCTCCTCCCGCCAGGTGAGTGTGGCTGGCCCACTCGCCCGCCCGAGGGGGCGGACCAGGGAAGGGACCCGCCCCGGGAGGACGCTGAGTGGAGGCAGGAGTGGGTGGGTCTCCGTCCGCATCCTCCCAGATCCGGCTCCGGTCGCCAGGGTCTCGGCCCCTAGGATGTCCAGGCGGCTACAGCTGGGATTGGGAGAGGAGCCCCCTGCCGCCTCGGTTTTACAGAGGACACCCACTCGTGGCCAGAGAGATTCCTCTGCATTCCCACGTACAACTCGGAGGAACTCCGGAGCCAGTGAGACCTAGGAGCCCTCCACAGAAATCTTCGTCCTTACTACAGTTCAGTTCCGAGCCATCTGTGGCCCGGGGGCTGCAAAGCACTGAAGCGCTTTGACTTCACTATATGCTTGGCGCTCTGTGGCATCAAGAGCTGATTTACAGTCTAACACTTTCAGTGTTCCCAGACAAGGCAAGATTAAAATGGGGAAATACTGCCTAGGCAGACAGCCAAAGAAATAGACTTTGAGCTTCCCTACCTGTTGTGTGGGACAGACACAGAAGTGGGGACGTGGGAGGAAGCCACTGTGGAAGATTCGAGGCTGCGCTGAGATTCCTGCAGACATCATTCTGAGCGCCCATTCATCCAGCGAGTATTTGCTGCGCTCGTGGAAGTGTTAGGCCCGGAAGCTCTGGAGGCTGGAGATGGAGTCATGCGCAAACTCTCAGGAATTGCAGAGGCTCCGGGATTTTACCCCACCGGCAAGCTAACAAGCTTAATGGGTGCTGGTGGAGACAAAGGACCGTACTACTCACTGCAGGGCAGGCAGCACGAGCTACATGTTTCATGTCCCCTCCTTGTCCCCAACCCCTTAGGGAGCAGGAGTGCACAACAGCCCAAATAGATGCTGCACATCCAGAGTCTGGGTCCCAGCTGAGGGAGCGTCAAGCTCAGGGAACCCCAGCCTTTTAAAGGGGATGCCAGCAACCTTTGCTGGAAAAGAGACACTTCCATGCGAAGGCTCAGCTGTCTCTCCCTGCCCCTTACTGCTGGGCGACCTGAGGCTCGCTGAGTCTGTAAAGTAGTAGGTAACTACCTTGAGGACCGTTCCGCAGAGGAAGAGTCGTTGTGACACAGTGCCTAGCACTCATTAGGGTGCCAGAGACGGCGTGGAAAGCAGAACCCCCTGGGAATCTTTACCATCACAAGTGGAGGGTTTTGATTTTCACCCATAGTCCAGCAGCTTTGCATTTGAGTGACTTCTCAGCTAAGAGGAAAAAAGAACTATTGTTCTTTGCTGTGACATCAAGACAGAGTGTATGGCATTGAGATGATGTCACTTGGACATGGCTTCCTCAGAAGGCGAATTCTGGTCTATGTTTTAGAACTTTTGAAGTATTTGTCTTTGAAGGCATGTATAGGACTTATTTTGAAATGCATCAAGGTATAAAATGGATAGATGAATAGATATATAGCAAGGAAAATATAGTACAGTGCTGACTGTAGAATCTAGGTGGTGGGTACATAGGCATTTTCTATCTACTTCTTTAAGTTTCCCTGCATGTTGGACATTTTCACAATAAAATGCTAGGGAAAAGTATGTGCAGAACCCTGATCACATGGCCAAGATATAATCTTGATAGTGTGCCTTTAGAAGTTTTCTCTTTTATTCTAACTAAATATATGAAAAATGCAGTCATTGAAAAAGAAAGTATCCGGTACTGCCTGCTTTCTCAGTAACTGACTCTTGGCACTTTATACCGTGTGGAAGGATTCCTTAGATTGGAGTTCTGAAAGTCCAAGTTAACAACAGCAATAATAGAAGTAGTATAAATGTGTGTCTGCAGTGTGCCAGGCACCACTGTGGCACTGAATCATCACAACCCCATTTTGCAGATGAGAAAACTGAGGAAGACAGAGAGAATAAATAATGCACCCAAGGTCACAGAACTAGTATGAGTGGTGGGTTGAATACTTGGCATATCTGATAGCTCCATCCAATGGGAGACAGACAGCAATTATCAGTAGAAATCACTTTGTTGTTGGCATAGTTTTGTGTGCTTGTGTCCTAAGTCCTTTAAGAAGCTTGATGATCAGATCCAAGCTCTTTTATGTGCAATGTCACTGTTAGAAAAGATGCTTTCAAGGGGCTGGGGATTTAGCTCAGCGGCACAGTGCTTGCCTGGCAGGCACAAGGTCATGAGTTTGATTCCCGGTACCGGAAAAAAAAAAAAAAAAAAAGATGGTTTCAAAAAGACGTGGGGTCGCTGTCAAGCTCATTTTTCCCCTCCTGTCTCTGCGGACCTCTCCCCGTGGACCTAATCTATGGTTACTTCATTCATTCTCCATCTGATATTACTGAATAATTAAGAGGACCATGTTTCTCTAACCAAATTCTTTCTGAAAACCTTGCCTAGGGAAAGCAGAGAGAATGAAAGCCTATCTCAAGAGCGCAGAAGGCTTTTTTGTCCTAAATAAAAGCACCACGATCGGAAAGCATGAGGATTCGGACCTGGTGTTACAGGTAAGACCCTCCCGCAGCCCTTAGCACTGCGGGGACTCAAATCTCTCCAAGCACCACAGCCACACCCGGCCGGCACCCACGTCCTTTTGTACCACCAGCAATCACTTGTCAGAACTACTGCATTTCCTCTGGCCTCTGCTGTTGTCCACTCCCCAGTGGTTCCGGGCTGACCACCGCCTCTGCGGATTGGGCCTCTCGCCCTTTTCAAAGCCCCTTGGGATTTTTCTGGGCCCGGAGGAGCCCCGCAGTGCAGCCCTGGACTTGGCCCCAGCACCCTTTGATTTCATTGCATTTTCAGACTTAGCTGTGGTGTAGTCCAAAGCCTCAGCTCGTTGACAGCCAAAGAAGCTAGGAAGAAAGAGAGGAATAATACAAACAGTGTCCTGGTGCTTTTTAAAATATTGAAGCGAGTTAAAGTATTGAAGTGGAAGGAGAAATGCAGTGAGTGGCATTTCTTAACTGGAAAAAAAGATTTTGCTTGGACCTCCCTCAACAGACTTGTTAAGATTTTTTTTTTTAATGTTTGAAATAATTACAGATTCACAGGAAGTTCCAAAAATAGCAGAGGGAGAATAAGAGTTTGCTTCCCCAAATCTTTTTTTTTTTTTTCTTTTGGTTTTTCTCCGGTACCGGGAACCGAACTCACGACCTTGCGCTTGCCAGGCAGGCGCTTTTGCCCCTGAGCTAAATCCCCAGCCCCTTCCCCAAATCTTTACATGTTTTGTCATTGTGACAATAGAAACACTAGAAAATTGATTTGGATGCACTGTGTGTGTGTGTGTGTGTGTGTGTGTGTGTGTGTATTCTGTGTCATTTTGCCACATATTTTGTGTTGTGAGCAGAACAGCACTGTTCTATCACCAGAAATCTCCCTTGTGATCCTTCTCTGTATTCACAGTATCTCTCCCTGCCACCATCCTAACCCCTGGCAACCACTAGTCTATTTCTCCATCCTGCCATTTTGCCATTTTGAAAATGTTACATGAATAAAATCATACAGCATAGGACCTTTTTGAGATTGGAGGTTTTATGTTTCTTTCATTGAGCCCTGGAGATCCATTTAGACTGTTAGTGAATTCCTTTTTATTGCTGCATAGTATTCCATGCTGTGGATGTACCAATGTTTCTGTAACCATTCATGTATCCGAGGACATTTTGATTATTTCTAGTTTGAGATTATTACAAGTAAATCTGCTATAAATAATTCCATATAAGATCTTGACTGAATATAAAATTTCATTTCTCTGGGATAAGTGCCTACCTGGAGTGTGATGGCTGGATTATATGGTACATATGAGGTTGATGCCTAAAGAAAACACCAGACCATTATCCAAAGTGGCTGTACCATTTTACATTCCCATCAACAACATATGAGATACAGTTTCCCTGTATCCTCACTACCCAGTGAGTGTTGTTACTGTTTTTATTTGAGGTGTTCTGGTTAGCATGTAGTTATATCTCATCTATGTCTTCATTTGCGTTTCCCTAATGGCTAACATATTTCATGCTTTTTGCCTTTTGCATATCCTCTTTGCTGAAGGTTTATTCATGTGTTAAGCCCATTTTTTAGTTAGAGTTTTGAGTGTTTTTACTAATAAGTCTTGACAATTCTTTATATAATTTAGATCTGAGTCCTTTGTCAGATATAAGGACTTTTCTCCTAGTCTGTACCTTGTCTTAATTTTCATAACAGTCTTTCACAGAATACAAACTTTAACACTTGATGATATTTTACTATATGTTGCCTTTCAATCCAGTTATCACTTTCCTTCTGTGGATGATGTATTTGACGTTGTATTTGTGGACATTTCACCAAGTCCTTCACCCTGAAGATTTTCTCCTATGTGTTGTTCAAGTAGTTTTATAGTTCTGTGTTTTATATTTAAATCTGTGGACCACTTTGAGTTAATTTTGTAAACAATGTGAGGTTTAGGTCAAGATTCATTTTTTTGTGTGTGACTACGTATAACCAAGTTGTTCTAGAACCATTTCTTGGAAAGAACACCATTTCTCCATTGAACTACTTTTGCACTTTTGTCAAAAGCATTTGGCCATACTTATACTCCTATACAAGTATGTTTTTTGAGTCCTCTGTTGTTACACTTGCCTGTCGGATCTCTCCTATGGTATGATGTAGTCTTTTTTTTTTTTTTTTGTCTTTTTGAGACAGGGACTCACTATGCAGTTCAGGCTGGCCTTGAGCTCACTTTGTAACGCAGGCTGGTCTCGAACACAACAATCCTCCTGCCTCAGCCTCCCAAGTGCTGGGATTACAGGTGTGCACCACCACGCCCAGCAGTATGATATAGTCTTGACTACTATACCATATGTCTTAGATGGAGGATTCCTCCATTTTATTTTTCTTTTGCAAAGTTGTTTTACTTAATTTAGTTTCTTTGCCTTTTCACCTTTTTTTTTTTAGAATAACCCTGTCTATATTTACAAAATATCTTGCCAGGATTTAGATAGGAATTGTATTTGAAACTATATATCAATGTGGGAAGAATTGATACCTTATCCTGTTGACTTCCAATCCATGAACATGGTATGCTTTTCCACTTCTATAGGTCTTCTTTAATTTCTTTCATTGGGGTTATGTATCTTTCAACGTATAAGTCTTCTCTTGTTTTGTTAGATTTACACTTAAACATTTCTCACATTTTGTTAGTTATGGTAAATAGTATTATACTTTTAATGTTGGTGTCCACCTGTTCATTGCCAGTACATAGAAATAAAGTATAATTGTTTTTTGTATGCTTACATGGTAACTTGCAACCTTAATTGAACTTCCTAGAAGCATTTTTGTAGCTCTTTTTGGATTTTATTTGTAAATAGGTAGGTCATTTGCAAATAAGAACAGATTTATGTTTTCTCTTTTTAATATGTATATCTTTAACTTACTTCTCTTGCAGTGGTGCACTGGCTAGGATTTCCAGTACTCTGTTAAGTAGGCATGGCAAAAGCACTATACCTGTTATGTTTACCTTGTTTCTGATTTTAGAGAAAAACATTCAGTCTTGCGCCATTAATATGATGTTAACTATAGGGCTTTTGGCTACTTTCCTCATCAAATGGAGAAAGTTCCCCCCTGTAGTCTTAGTTTTTGGAGAGTGTTTGTCATAAATTCAAAAGATTTAAAAATAGTTCAACATACCTCCCCTTGAGATTCTCATCCATGATATGTTCTCCCTACAAGGACACAAAAATCTTATTCAGTACACAAAGCTGAAAAAAAAAAACAAAGCAAAAGAATTTCAGTTTCTTCTTATCGTAATAAGGAATTGATGGATTTTACTTCCCGTCTGTCCAAAGTGGAAACAGGGATCTCTGTTGTGAACCTCAGTATGCTATTAGGAAACTGTAATAATTTTTAAAGGCAGTCTTTTGGGATAGGCAGATCTGAGCTTGCATCTCTTTAGGCCATTTTCTGGCTTTGTGACTTCAAGCAATTTACTTAATCACTCTGAACTCATTTTCTCCGTCTGCAAAGCACTTACCCCTCAGGGTTGTTGTGGGGCTTCAGTGAGAAAATGTGCATAAAGTGCCTGGCACACAGTGCTGAGTAAATGACACTGTGATCATTGTTATGGTCTCAGAAGATGAGGCGGAGAAGAATTCTCTGGGATCACAGGGTCAAGACAGGTATCCCTTGACACTAACAAGCTGTTTGGGAAAGGGAATTAACGAGGACAATTATATACACAGAAGTGGAGTTGCATTTATGGTACAAAAAGAATTGTTTACTGTTCCCCGGCTTTAAAAGGAAGTCAGCTGTTCTAGTTGTTGCAGCACCATTTCTTGAAAAGACCGCCACTCCCCCATTGAATGGCTTTTGCACTTTAAAAAAGGAAGCCTTTGCTATCAGCAGTGGTCACGTTGATTAGTCATGTTGATTAGGAATCACTTCAATTTCCAGAAACATGAACTTCCACTGGCTCCTGAGGCAGTGGATGACCCAGGGGTTTCCAGATTATTTGGGAATGGACTTTCGATGGATTCTTATATCTTCTGTCTTGGTTACTTTTCTCTCATTGCTGAGACAAAATACCTGATGCACAAAATTAAGGAAGGAAAGGTTTATTTAGCTCACAGTTCATAGAGGTTTCAGTCTGTAAGGCAGGGTGGAATGGCAGAGGGCAACAGTTCAAGGTGGCAGAAGACAGCAAAAGCAACAAGAGCAAAAGGGGCAAAGAGTAAGTCTCTTTTCCTCCCTTATATTTTATGCTACCGGCCCTCGGTTGGGGGTAGCACTCACACCATCTCTGTGCCATCTTTTTGCATAGGCTCAGGATGTTTACAAAAGGAGGACCCTACCCCCCTCCACCAAGTTACTTAGTTAAACTTGTAAACTTCTCAAGTTGACACAATGAACAGCGTCCTAGAGCAGTAAGGGCATGTCCTCTATACCCTAGCATGTAGAACTGCAGAGTTACTTAGTTGAGCTTTCAGACTTCTCAAGTTGACACAATGTATCAACCATTACCTTAGACACAACCACTTCTCATAGCTTAAACAGAGTTAGGGGAGGAGTTGTAGGGAGACAGGCCAGTTCCCAAGTTCTGAAATCTACAGACATGGCAGCATTTTTCAGTTTTACGAGAAGTGAAACTTGCCCCGCTGCTGACCTCATTGGGCCTTTCAGATGAACCTCAAAATCATGCTTGATTAGCTGCAGGCCACCAATAATCAACTGATCATTTGCGCTATTTGTGCCACTGAAAATCATTCCACTATAAAGTTCACAAGTCAAAATAAACAAGCAAGCAAAAACCTTAGAATTGCCTACCAATTACACTTAACATAAAAAATGATCATTTATTTTATTTGCCTGGGTAAATCCTAAAGAATAGGGAGCTGTGTATCTAAAAATTTATATTTGTTGGCAAGGCTTGTATGTTGATATCATTACATTTTGACATCATTTTTACACTTTCTAATAAAGGAGGAAAATAAGTCACTTGTAATCCTATGACTTGGGGACAATCAAAATTGATTATGGC